CCCCCCCCCCCCTCCCTCCTTTCATCTTCGAGATGCGAGCCCAGCACGTTGACGGTCCGCATCAGGCCTGCAACTTGACTTGTTATCTTTGCCCCCCTCCTCTCTCGAGGGGGCCGACCAAACTGTTGGCACGCAAGACGCTGCCGCTCCAGCTCCACAGCAGACAATTTTCGTGCGCAAGCAGGGGGGAAAAGGGGGGGGGGGGGAGAGCAAGAATGGTCCCCAACTTCTATGCATTCTGCCCGGGCCCGGGGAGCAAGACAAAGAGAGGGAGAGAGAGGAGAGCAAGAGAAAGAGAGAGAGAGAGAGCAAGAGAGAAAAGAGCAATATTCGTCCGTTCAAGCGCGGTGCGCTCTTCCCCCTCCTCAGGCCTCAGCCTCATCATGCGGTGCGCACGAATCCGTAACTCTGAAGGGAAACCCGATCGTGAGCCAGGTGCGTCAGGTCAGGCTCCCAGTCAGCGCCCCCGCCTCCTCCAACGTAATCAACAATCCATCGCCCACACACACCTTTCAAAAGCCAAATATCCTTCACTGTCCTTTGAGCGGATCAGGAGGGGGAAAGAAAAAGCCACAAAGGAACGAGGGAGCTGGCTGGCTGGGGTCAGGGTCAGGTACCTCGTGATGCGTGCGCTTGCGCGCGCAAGCTCGAACCTCCGCACACGTCCGCCCTGGTCACATCCTACGCAAACGGGCCACCTCGTCTCGTCTAGGTCCGCGCGTCCAATCACACAGCCCACGCAGCAAGCAGCACGCGCTCGACGGGGGAGGGAGAGGGGGGGGCCTTAAAAGGTTCGCTCGCTTTCGCCATTTCCCCACTTCACACACTCGCACTGTCTCTCAAGCGCATCCCCACAAGACTCTCCCCCATCATGCTGTGCTTGCTGCCTTTTTCTCAAGCTTCATATCCCTCCAGTATTTCTTTTCGCGCGCCATCGAATGCTTATGCTACGTGAACGCTCGCATCGAGGGTCTAGTCATCGTTTGGGAGGAGGGGGCAAAGAAAAGGGACCAACGGGCTGCATCGGCGAGGGAGGCAGGGCGGCGATGAAGCGCGATCGAGGCTTTTTTGTCGGATATCGTGTGCCGAAGTCAGACCGATTCGGCACGTCTAGTCAAGCTTATATCAGCCCAGTATTTCTCCGGATCTTGCAATGGGCGCCAGAAATCCTCCGCTAGCGCCATCGCACCACCGCGCGATAAGCCCAGCACCTCCTCGTCCTGCTCCTCTGCCGCGCATGTTCCACAGCTCTCCTCCGCGCCTCCACTTTGTGTGTCCATCGAATTTGCGCAAGCTTGCTGCTGATCCACGTAGAGCCCATGCCCGCCGTGGTGCACGTCCAGATCAGGATGCGTGTCCGGATGCGGCGTGTCGAAAGCAAAGTCAAAGTCCTGATCATCTCGCACGCATTCCATCCCCATCGCATCCACGTCAAAGCCTTCAGCTTGCGAGACATGTTGTGCGAGCGCATCGAATGCAGCCTGCACCTCATCAGCTGATGCCGTCCGCCTGGCTTCGTCGTGCTCGTCATGCGCTTGCGTAGCAAACTGCTCTTCTTCCGAAGACGACGCATCCATAATCTCGTCTGACTCTTCCTCAAGCTGCAATTCCATCATCCTCGAGCTCCTGATCCTCTTCTTCTTCCCACACCTCTCGAGCGCCCTCGCAAAGTATTCTTCATCTTCTCGGCTCAAATCCATCGTCTCTTCGCCGAGCTCCTTGAGCATGTCCGTACGCGATGCCGGCACGCCTCGAGTCAGATTTCGCGTGGAAAGCTCGATGGTGAGGCCGTGCAAGCCTCTCAGCGGCTCGATCTGCAGACCGTCGCGGTGCGCATCGTTGCCGCCACTACGACTTTCGGATGGACCGTCGTTCTTGCCACTGCGACTTTCGGATGGTGCGAAGAGGGCAGGTCGAAGACGATCCATTCGGCGAAACTCCTGATCGAAGGGCAAGACCAAATGTGGGCCTGCGCGCGCGCGCGCGCGAGTGCTCGTCAGCATTGCGCAATGCAATCAAAAAGGGGGGGGGGGGGGGGGGGGGGGGCCTCACGAGGAACAGTGTACAATGTGCCAGGAGGGTTTTCAAGCTCTTCCTCCTTGAGCATATCCAGCGCGCTTGGTAGATGAACGGCAGAATCTGAAGAGACGGGCTCGCAAATATCGAAACGGACCATCTTGATGCCCGTCTTCCTCTCCATTTGTCCCGTCAGGCTGCTCTTCTCGCTGAAAATCACATCAAAATTCGTTACGTGGGGGTGCTGCTTGCTTTCGAATTTGCGGCGCATGGGACTCACGCAGAATCCTTGGATGCTATCGACGAGCTCACTGGTAGCATCGGCTTTTCTGCCAGGTCACCATGCTGATCAGGGTCGAGAAATCTCCGAGCACGAGTGCGGAAGGCAATGCTCACCCAGCACCGGCTGAATTATGTCGTCCAAGTCAAGCGTCGAGTCCGAAGCCGGTTCTCGCGGGTCGTGCATGCGCGCTTGCAGAGGTGCTAAGCGACTTCCATCCACCGCTCGCGCAGATTCGTTCGACGTCGTTTCAGCAGCAGAGCCGTGACGTTGCTCGTCAAGCATCTCTGGGTAGGGTGGAGGTGCCATCAGCATTCGTCTATCACGGTTCCGACATTAGCGCACGCACCCAGCTCTGGCCACCTCTCGAGATCGGGCAAAAAGATCGAGGGGCTAGCTACGTCCAACGGAGCGCTGCTCATGCCGGCGTTCAAGATGTCCCGAATGATGACCGACGCGCCTTGCGTGGGACCCAGCGAGAGAGGTGTGCTGCTCGAGACTCTTGGACTGGATCGCGGGAGTACAGGCTGTATCAGGGGTGGAGAGAGGCAGCGCTGCGAGGAGAGCAAGCTTCGGGCGTCAATGCCGAACGGGTGTGCGCGGGCGCGGGCGCGCCGTGCTCCACGCCTACGCACCTCTTTCACCTCTCCATCCTCATCCAACGCCCTAGTGAGCTCGACCGGATCCAAAAGGCTCTGCTTGGGGCTGTCTTGAAACGCGAACAGCTTCTTGACGTGCATCACCTGTGCTCTAGAAGTCGAGAGCTGGATCCCACTGTGATTTGAGGCGACATGAGCGCGCGAGCACCGCAAAAACGGCACCTTTTGAGCGCATACACACAGCAGTCGCGTTCTGGACATTTCCGGCAAGCTGGACGCGGAGAGTGCTCGTCGAGTTTCGTCGGAAAGGCGAAAAGGACTCATGTCGGAGTCGAGCAGGTTTGCATATTTTAGCAACGTCGCATCTACGTCGCCATTCCTCGCTGGCAGTGCTGCGCTTAAAGGCATCACCGGCATCATCTGCATTCTCTCCGTCCAAAAGCGGAGAATGTCCGAGTCGCCTTTGTGTGAGAGCAGAAAAGAGGGTGGGCGGGGAGGAGGAGGAGGAATGGTGAGCCATGTGCGCTCTAGCTGGTACGGCGACCTCGTTGGGCACGCTTCGTACAGCCGCTCGTTCCCAACACGCACCTCGCTCCTCCTCCTGTTCCACCTCCTCCTGCGACAGACTTTTCAGCCCCACATTGGAGCTGGAGCGCTCATCCACCTGCTTCAAGCGCCTCTTGAAAAGCGTCAAGTCGCATCTTGCCAAGCTCAACTTTTCGCTCTTGACAATGGCAGCCCAAGCATACTCTTCGTCCGGTATGCACCTGATGCCCAGCTCGTAGGGCGTGGTGAGCGGGCCAAGCTTGATGGGTTGTGCGCGCAATTCGATGGGCAAGAGGCACAGGTTGCTGCAGAGATGGATGGCCAGCTCTTCTTGCAAGTTGGCCAACTGCGTCGGCGACGTGTGCAGCGGAGCGAGGTTCCGAGAAAGGGGGAGGAGAGTAGGGGAAAACAAAAGATCAGCAGTAGGAGCGTGACGATGAGCTTGAAGGAGGGGAGGGGAAGCGGGAGGAAAAGGCTACCACATGCGCTCGGACGAGGCTCACGCAAGCACCACGTGTATGCGCTCCAAACTCACGCTAAGCTCCACCTCTGGCGGTTCGTCGCGCATCACGAGAATTGGTGCAGACCTGCAGGAAGGGTGTGCTTGGCGGGGGGGAGAAGAAGAAGGGTA